TACTTATTTTAAAGTCACTTTTTCAAAAGCTAACCACTTTTTCATAAACACTTTTCCTTTCTCTGGTTGCCTTGTCTGAACAGATATTGCCTGATTTTGCTTCCGGTCAGAAATAAAGTCGGGAGTTGGTTTCAGAACAATCCGTTACCCTCCCGACATATCCGATGATGACATTCTCTGAGGGTATCGGGATGAAAATCTAACCGATAAAAATTATCTGTTTTGTTCATTTTGCATGTCCGAAGAGTTAATCGAAAAACACGGAGAATCGAGAAGAAGACTTAGGACAAAATAGAAAACTTTAGGCATTTTAGGATTTTTTTAGAAAAAGAAAATGTAATTTATTTATTTTTTTTTGTAAAGAATTATTATTATTTCTAATAAAATCCTTCATTTTAAGATATTGTAAAAAACATTATTATTATTATTATTATTATTATTATTATTATTATTATTATTATTATTATTATTATTATTATTATTATTATTATTATTATTATTATTATTATTATTATTATTATAAAATGAAATGAAAAACCAATATTAAAAATGCATGTTTTATCCTAAAATGAAATGAAAACACTAAAAAATGAAATAAAATCAATTTAACAATGAAATGAGACAAAAATTTAAAAATGAAATAAAATTGGTTTAAAAATGAAATGAAAGCAAAAATTAAAAAATGAAATAAAATCGATTTAAAAATGAAATGAAAGTAAAAATTAAAATGAAATAAAATTATTTTTGTTATTTTTGATTTTAAAATGAGATGAAAACACCAATAAAGTTCTATTTTTTTATTAATTCAAAACTCATCCAACTTATCCGATTAACCTTGTCTCTGACACAACTTCCGATTAATCCTTCCGGCATTTTAAATGAACAACCTTATCAGAATAAAATCCAATTTGTTTAAATGATCCCGCTTTTCCGACTAACTTCAACCAAACGAATCGAACTGATTTCGTTCACCCAGCTCAGATCCTCCATGATTAACCTCTTCCGATTAACACCCTCGGCCTCAATTCACACCAATACATCCAAATGGCTCAAATTTCCTGACTACAACTCAGATTCATAAATTGACAGCCGACTGCAAATAAAATGACCATTCTGCCCTTCATAAGCCAAAGAGCGCATAAATGTGACTTTCCTGCAAAAATCAACCAATCGCACAAACTTGTTAGTGACTGGTTACATGCAACGAAAAAGTGCAATGGAACGCGAGATGAATCGACTAATCTTAGGGAAAATTTTGGGGTATTACAAGTGTCTTTGTTTTCTCCATAGTACAAGAGACGTTGAAGATAGATACACCAAAAGATCTCGATCTATTGTGTAACGTGTTTAACCATTGAGTCTTCAAAGAGATCTTGTACTATAGAGTCGTTGAGAGTAGGTATCCAAAAAGCATGCCAAATTTTCTTACGCCTTGTGAACTAAGACTTTAGCTGACAAACTGATTTGACAATGCATCTTACTTTCTGCAGTACTAATAGCTTCAGCTTTATTACTAACTTTGAATGATCACCATAAGCCAATTTATATTCACCAAGTGTAGAGACAATTATGTTGCTTCTTCTGATGTTGAGACCTTCAGCTTCAGAGTCTACGCCAAACATCACTTAGAAAGGGTTCTTTAGATTCTCCACCACCAGAAGCTAGCAATTCATCTTCTCTCAAGTGTACCTTTGTATATCATATTCTGAATATTATATCTATAAGTATTAGAACCTGCATACATGAAACACACATCAAATATAACCATTGTTCTTTTAATACTTTGTTGTCATCAAAACCCAAGGAATATATGTCATGAACAAATCTTGTTCTACACATACGCCCACCAAAAAATAGGTTGACGTATGTATGCCCTAACGAATAGAAGCATCTATACGTCCTTCAGTATACAAATGCTTTGGAACATCTAGTCAAAGGTGTGCGTAGGTCGTCGATCGCATGTGTTGGTAAAGTCAAGGGCATGCATCCATACGTCCTTCAGTATAGAATGTTGGTATAAGATTTTTCATATCCCTTGAGTTTTGATGATAATAAAGTATTTAGAGAACAAATAGGTATACTAATATATATTCAAGTGTGCAGGATCACAAGTTAAAAATTCACCATGAATTAATCCTGTTGAAAGCATAAGTAGAGAAGCAATGTTACTCAGATTCTAAATGATCAAAATCTGGTGACTCAAAATATTTTCATCAGCATCTGAAGGACCAAACACTGGTATATTATTCCAGCCTTTGGTGACAACTCAGACCCTACAAGTAAAAGGTGCATATGGCCCGTACTCTGCACCAAAAGTAGACCAGTTTTGTCAATCACAAAATTTCTAGGAAGAGTCAACTAGAGTTTGGTTTTGCAAGGCTTAAAAGATGGTGATGTAACCTCTTCAATCTGTTCTACAATTTTGGTAGATACCTAGTACTTCGAAAGATGTTGTGGTTAACGTCTTTATTCAATGGATAATACTTCTATCCAGATGCTACTCTCCAACGTCTCTCTAGGCATATTTCTTCACTAAGTTTGTTATTGTTTAAACCCCTCCAACGACTCTTTCTCTACCTCTATAAAAGGAAGCTGAAGACTTGAAGGAAGGTCACAACATCATAACGAATTAAAAGATATTTGGCATAACTCTAAGTTGTTATTTTTGTAACTGTTATTGCATAAGATCTTAAGATTTCTTAACTTAGCTTATCTTAGAAATCTTAGAAAGGCTGAGAACCTTTGTGATTGTTGTACAACTATTATACTTTTGATTATGTATCAAAGTATAACAGTTACCTTTTCTTTTAAACTATTTGTTTAAAGTAGAGGAAGTCTCTTGATTGTGTGCTTGAGCATTGAAATCTCTTGCTGTGTACTTGAGCAGTGAAGTCTCTTTCTAAATTGATTGAGCAGAAGTCTTTTGCAAGGTTGCTTGAGCAGAAGTCTCTTTCTAGGTTGATTGAGTATTGAAGTCTCTTGCAAGTGTGCTTAAACAAATTGTAGTCTATTTGGTTATAGCGAAAAACTCTTATTGAAGCAATGAGACTTGACTCCTCTCAGTTGACAAGAGAAACCATGATAATCTTTGTGTGTTGCTTGGATTTACTTCTGATCATTATATTTCCGCTGCATTATTTATTCTAATATCAGGCTATGAATGTGGTTCAGATTTTGAAGTTTCTAAATAAAAAATAAAACAGATTTTTAGCATACACAATTCAACTCTCCTTCTCGTATATTTTTCTCACCTTCATACAAAAGCTTTGGATCATCTAGTCAAAAGCATATGAAGGCCATAGATCGCATATATGAGTAAATTCAAGGGCATGCAAGCATACATCCGTCTTGTAGGATGTACATAGCCAACATCCATCTCTAGTAAAAAGCGAATGCACGCCCCTTCTGGCATACGCATGCCCCCATCTTCAGGTATATAATCATAAATTTTCTAAAAATCTATTTCAAAATTTTGAAAAAATAATATAAAATTTAAAATTTCCAAAAAAAAAATATAAGGGTGTCCGATGGAAGTTTGGGGTGTCAAATAAATTTCTCTTTAAAAACTATATTTTCATAAGTAACTTCCCCGACATATCTTTAACACAGCTTTTTTTTTAATCATGTTTCACATCAAAATGTGTAACGAAAATGACCATTTAATCAATGTGAGTGGTAGTAAAAGAACATAGGACCAGCCATTATTGATAGAGATACGCTCTCAAATTTGTCCTATTACAGCTTGCTACACAGAATCTGATTCATTTCAAACAAAATGACACAATCTTACTCCTTTCTAGTCTCTCTATATATATTCCAACCATCATCCCAATAAATTAACAAACTTCATTTACTCTCATTCACACACCTAACAATAACATGAGTTCCAACTTGTTTAATGTTGTGTATGTTGATACATCATCAGAGCCATCCCATGTTCAGACTTTTCATTCCACTGCTATATGGAATGATCACTTTGATGCTGTTAAAGAAACTGATAAACTGGTATGTTTGTGTAGTTACAATCCTTCACTAGCTACAGCCTATAGTATATCTTTACCAATAGGTCAATTTTAGTTTCTTAATAGTGTTTTGTTTGGGATAGATGGTTATTGATTTCACAGCTAAATGGTGTGGACCTTGCAAACTTATGAATCCAACTATGAAAGATTTTGCTGCAAAATACTCTGATGTTGAGTTCATTAAGCTTGATGTCGACGAGTTAATGGTATGTTACAAAATACACTGATGTTGAGTTCATTATGACAACATGATTTCTGAGCACTTACTGATTTGTGTTTTTTCACAATATAAATGTCAACAGGGAGTGTCTCAAACATTTCAGGTGTATTCACTGCCAACTTTCTTACTTGTTAAGAAAGGAAATGTTATTGATAAAGTGGTTGGAGTAAGAAAGGAGGAGCTACATAGGATGATAGAGAAACATATAACCTAAGTGTATGCTATGATCCTGCACTATAACAAAAACACAGTTTCTGCAGCATATTCTTCTTTGATTACAAAGAAACAAGCTAATAAGTTGGTGTCATCATTTTCAACCAAAAAATAGGTGTCATTCGTCATTTATAAGATTCAATGTAATAATATATCATATATGTTATGTTCTTGTTACATGGAACATGGTTCTGTTACGTTCTGTTTTACAAGGCAAATGGCAACAGAAATATATACAAATGGAAAATTGAGACTCAAATATATATATATTGTCTATAATATATGTGAGGTACAAATTTCATATCAAATAGTGGAATTGCTTATTAAGTTATTTACACTTCAGGTAAAACAGGGTTAACGTAGTGTTGTAAACATATCACAGAAAAAAAATGACAGTTTATTAGTGTCATAGCGTTGTTAAAAGCACTATTATTTAACACTTCGAACTAAAAAAACAACCTATTGGGCTATAATGTTGTTATAGCCACTATGTGATAATGCTAGACTAAGAGTTAAAATCATTGGATTGGACTAAAAGTAACGGTTTAGTTATAAACAGCTTCACTCAAAATCCTACTTACATTATGTTTCTGTTGTGAGGTCAAATTTGATGGAAACTCAACATAAAATTTGATTCTAAGATTTCCTCTCTTGCTCAAGTCCTTTGCAAGTGGCATACCTTCATCCGGGACGACCTTTTCATAGCCTGGTGTCACAATATCAGTAACTTCAACCGTGATATTTCTTCGATCCAAGGTTGTTATGTTGAGAGTCGTACCGACAAGAGCTTCAAGAAATGATATCTTTTGTGTCATTACCAAATCATGTTTATCCCTCTGGAATACAGCATGCGGTTTCTCTTTCACCACAAAAATCAGATCAAGCAGAGGAGAGCCAGGCAGTTGGTTTCCTTTCCCGGGAAAAGTGATTTTTGTGCCCTTTCTCCAACCAGGCTCAACGGTTATCTTCAAGATTTCTTCTTCACGCTTCAACTCCCTGTCAAAACAAATATATAAAAAAAAGCTTATTGTTAAACACGCAACCGCAATTGAGGCCGCAACAACCTCATTTAACATCAATTCTCTCCAATATCAAATACTATGATTCAAGGTTTAAAAAACAGCATGCAACCAACATTGAAAACAGCTGCAACAAAACGATATCAGTATCACCGTTATTCACAATTTTTATTTTTAGGTTAAAGAACACATTTTTACCATCCGAAATCACGAAAAGCAATGACTAATTAAAACCCTAATAACAAAAATTAAGGAAAAAAGTGAATTACCCAAATTCATCAGGAACAGTTCTTACAAGATTGACCTTCTTTCTGCAACCACAATAAAGATCCTCAAGCGTGCATAGCAAGTCACTCTCAAAAAATCCTCCAACACCTTCATCATCAACCTTCATATTATTCCTATCAACATTTTCAAAATTCACCGGATATTTCCCATACAGATCAAAGATCCTACGCTTATTAGGATCACTAAGAACATCAAAAGCCTCATAAATTCTCTTAAACTTTTCATCAAACTCTTTCTTCCTTAAAGGCTCTTGATTACTCTCATCAGGGTGCAATTTCCTTGATAAATTCTTAAACGATTTCTTTATCTGCTCATAGCTTGCATCAGGGTTCACCTTAAGTATGTTGTAGTAATTCACACTACCCATTTCACACAAAATTGAAATTGAACTCTATGTTAAAAAATTGGTTTTTTTGCATTTTTGATGTGAGAGTTAAAGAAAGAGTGAAACCTAATCCTAATTTTTAGGGATTTGATGTGCGAGTGAAAGAAAGAGTGAACCCTAATCCTAATTAATAGGAACAAGGGGTGATAAAATCAAAAGGAAGCGCATTTATGGCGGAAAATTTGCAGAATAAGATCAAGAAGAGATTTTTTAGGGATAATCAGTGATGATACAGAGAATCAATCAAAGAGGAAAGTAATTATGATGGAAAATAATTAGAGTAAATATTTGTGATAAAAAAAAAGTTTATTGATTTTGAAAAAATCTAATTAGTTCTAAAAAAAATCAGAATTAAAAAACAAAAAACAAAATTTATGATTAAAGAATCTTTTTGTTTTGAGGGAGAGTATCTTAAATAAACAATCTTAAAATGAAACCGAATTAGTTGAGCCTTATTAGTCAGGAAAAAAAAACTATGTTGAGTAATATTTAAGATTTGGGAGAGATATGATTTTTTTTTCTTTGAGAAGATTATGTTAACAAATGTTTATGAATCATTGTTAAGAAAATTTTAGGAATTATTTTTAAAATAAGAATTTTTATGTTTAAATACTTAAAATATTCGTTAACATTTTTTTAAGACTAATTTAAAGATTATAATTGTTTTGTTCACGAGGCAGAAATGGATGCAATTGGTGAACTGGATATCTTGAATCCACAGTGTTGATCTCCGTTATTTCGGCATTGAGTGAACTTGTATGGTTATCAGTCAAACGCTCAAGTTAGTTTAAGATTTAAAATGAGTATATTAGAAAGTAGATGAGAAAGTGTATCTTGTTTCTTGTGAGGACTAACTCTGTACTTTGCGTCGAGTGGAGTGGATTTGAGATGAATTAGGTCTTGGCTATTTGGGTCTTTGATCGGCCCAAAAAATTTGTCCAAAGATTTTTGGTGAACACTTAGTGAGTCGAGGAAGTCTTTAGTTATTTTGGTTGCCTCCAAGGTGGGCTAGACCTGAAACTTTTGGAGTCAGTTGAAAAAGTACTGGAAAATAAGACATTAAATGTGTTTTCATAATTGAAATCTTTCGTAGCCTTCTTCTAACACATGTGTTGATGTGAGAAGTTAGGGCACGACGTCGTTCATAGTGCACCCATGTTTGCATGTATCCCCCCCCCCCCCCCCCAAGGATGAATCTAGTCGTTGATTTTGTACTTCCTTTCTTTGGTTGATATGGGTCATCTAATCGTTCTCTCTTATAAATAGGAGGAGTTGAGCGTTTTGGAAACTTTTGGCAATCCTTGTCATTCGAGTTCATTCATATTCACATTCTTAGTACATAAATTAACTTCTTCTCTCCTAAAAGCATTGATCAAAACTGTTGCAGTTCTTTAATCAAAATCATGCTTTCTTCATTCATTATGCTTCATCAATCTCACACCTCAGGTACGTCCTTGAACTCAAACTTTTTCTTCAGCATTTCATGTTTTCTAGTTAGGAAGCGTCATAATATAGTTAACTTAGCAAGCGATTTTGAGAGTGAAACTTCTTCAGGATCGAAAATGGGAACTTCCTCTTATTCTTATCTCCTTCCTCTTGATCATGATCGCTCAGAATCAGAAGTCATACATTTATCTAACGATTATGAATGAGCAAGGGTATCTGGAGATTCCCTGGAAGAAGGAGCTTCTTCATCTGACTCATTAGAAGCACTTTTATCAAATGTCAGTGATAAGGATATGAGTTCAGATACCTTTCTCCGATTTCGAAGTTGTTATCCTGAAACACTTAAAAGTTTCTCTTTCCAAACTTCATATGAGGTCATGGTCCTCATGAGGGTATTCTAGTTGTGTTTCAAGCATAAATTTGTAAGGGTATTCCAGATGTGTTCCACATAAAGCCATCCTCTCAAAATAACTTTCGCAACTAAGGGCTCCTTAGTTTCCATCCGAACACTCCTTGGTTTGTCCCCTAAACCCAAAACTGAGGTGATTTTCTAGGGTGCTTTTTGCTAATGATGCCCCTTATACCATAGGCACATCTCCCTTTTTGCTAATCCCCTTTAAAGTCTTCTTGCTTCTACAAGAGTTTGTTTCTAAAGTATTGGTCTTCTTCTCACCTCAACCGGAACGTCCATTCCTACTGCACCAGGCTGGGTGTAACACCCCATTCTAAACTCTCGTGGAAAATAAGAGAACAACAGAAAACAATCAGAGTGCAGCAAACAAAAGAAACTGCATGACGGTCGTAATGGGTCTGTCACGACCGTGGTGGTCATGACGACCGTCATGGATGTCACGACCGTGACGGTCATGATGAGTGTCACACTCCCAAATTCTGGGATGCATCAAATATGTCACATTTACAACTTAACAGACAACAAACAAACACCTGCAGCAGTTCATTTAGTAACATACATAGCACAGATTCGGATGAACAGACAACGATAACTTACTTAGCATCTTAATCATAAAACGACCTGTTATAATACACTTCCAACAATTCACAATAAACTAATTTCATTAAAATTCAGCAAGTAATTATCTTGCATCAATTTACGAAAGCAACTATGCATCCAATCAACATTTGGCACCAACAGAAGTAACCAATTTATTTGCAATGTACTTAATAAAATTCAGCAACAAGGAAATCAATTAAAACAATAACATCAATCGTTCATCCCCCCAAGAGTGCTACGTATCAGAGCGACCAACGACACCTTAAACAAAAAACGACACTTTATTCCTAGTTACCTGCAAATTACCACCAACGGAGGTAACATACAACGTAAAGGGTGAGATATCAAAATTATAACATAAGGCATGATAAAAGTCATGTCAGGATTATATCACAGCAATTGAAATTCTCGTAGTTTTTCAAATACTATCGACAACCACTACCAGGGGATTTATCATTCATAATTCACAACAATTAGCAACAAATTCAGCAACAATTAGTAAGAAAGTTCAGCAACAATTAGTAAGAAAGTTCAGCAACCCAACTTCACTTACAATCACATAACGACGCGACCTATGCGACTCAACTATGCATATGCATGTGGTACCAATTCGGAGCAACACTCCGCAACCAATTTATTTGCCATTAAAGGCCGCTAATACTGGCATAACCAACGCCAATACTGGCACAACCAATGCCAATACAGGCCAACCAGGATGATATGCTATGACATGCATCTATTATGGACTACAACACAACAACAGCAACCGTGCAACAAGGCATTAAGCCTACAACCAAATTGTCCATAAACGCAGCATCATAATTTCATATAATTTCATGTACCCACAACTTTTAATCTAATTAAATAGGGACACAATAACAACACTTTCTTAATAAATGGGAAAATAGTGCGTGTCGGCGCCGTTTCCCAATTTCACACCGAACTAATGACAGAAAACACTAATTCAGACACAGACAAACATTAACCCTTAATATTTATCAACCTACGGGAACTAACTCCATGAGTCAATTCCCTTCATGAAATTGATCATACTCCTGGTTATAGAATTGAACCCCACCCTTACCTTTGATTGAGGGCAACTCTAAACTTCCGGTGACTCCTCTGCAACTACCGTGAATTCTCTCCGGTGGTTACTTTCCTCTATTCTCAACTTCTCTCGGTCACGTTCTTTCTTCTTTGATTTTTGTTTCCACCGTTACTAGTTTTCTCCCCACTTGGGTTACTAGTTTGTTAAATTACTCTATTATTATTATTATTATTATTATTATTATTATTATTATTATTATTATTATTATTATTATTATTATTATTATTATTAATAATAATAAATTTTGGGCTTACTAATAGCACCACCCTCTTTTACTATTTTACTTACTACTATTAGGCCCACTTAGATAGCTATTCATCAAAATCAACCATTGATATTTTTCTCATTCTTTTTATTTAATTTCACACTAACGGTAAAATATCCTGACTGATTAATTTTACTCGATACACCCGAATACTACTACGATACGGAGAGGCACGACCAACAATTCATAATTAATTAATTTGAGATAAAACGGGTGTTACAACTCCCCTATACTTAAAAGAATTTCGTCCTCGAAATTACCTCGATCAAACAGCTCGGGATAGGACTCCCGCATCTTACTTTCCAGTTCCCACGTCAAGCTTTCGCCAGCGGCTCCCAACCAGACCAATTTCACCAAAGCAATCTCCTTCCCTCTCTACCGTCAGATTGTCATGTACTTGCACATTGTCCATAGGAATGACATGCTACAAATATGAAATGTACTTTCGGAGCTGCGACACATGAAATACATCGTGCAGATTCGACAAATTAGGCGGCAACGCCATTCAATATGCAACCTTTCCAACTCTGTCCGATATTTGGTACGGACCAATGAAACGAGGGGTAAGCTTCTTAGACTTCAAAGCTCTACCAACTCCCATCACAAGCGTGACTCTCAAAAACACATGATCTCCAGCTTCAAATTTTAACTCTTTTTTGCCTTTATCATGATAACTTTTCTGCCTACTCTGTGAAGCTTTCATCTTCTCTCGAATTAACTTTACCTTATCCGTCGTGTCCCAAACAATCTCCGGTCCAAGTACCACACTCTCCCCCGATTCATACCAACATAACTGAGTCCTACATCTCTGACCATACAAAGCTTCGAACGGTGCCATTCCAATGCTAGAGTGGTAACTTTTATTATAAGTAAACTCTATCAACGGAAGATAGGTATCCCACAGACCACCTTCCTCAAGAACACATGCTCTCAGCAAATCTTCCAATGACTGGATAGTCCGTTCAGTCTGACCATCTGTTTGAGGATGGTATGCTGAACTCAACCTCAACTTGGAACCCAAGGCCTCTTGTAGACTCTTCCAAAACTCAGACGTAAACCTCAGATCTCTATCTGACACAATACACAACGGAACACCATGCAGCTTAACAACCACTTTGACATAAATCTCTACCAACTTCGATATCGGAAAA